CGCCACGTTTTTCTTGGGAAACCCAGGCACGAATATACCCGATGGTTCCGTGGTGTGAAGGCGCAGAACAGCCATGGCGTGACCTAGAGACCCTGGGACGAGCCCTCCCCTCCCCCGAACCAGCTACCGATGTGTCAGCGGACAGAAGAAATAGGGTAGTAGAACCTTTAAAACTATACTGCCTCATAAAACAAGTAGACTCTCTCAAATTTATTTGCCAGTCCTCGACTATGTGACAAGACAATCGTAGTTCGCCGCACTGGTGAGCGTCGCGTGCGGCTTCGCGCTCGCAAATAACGATGTTTCTAGCGTGTAGATGACAATGTATAACCAGAGACAGCCATGTATTCCGAAGTACTCATGAATTACGGCGCTGTTGACGGATTAACCCAACTGAGAAGTCGTCGCGACCATCGCCGCGCGCGACGAAGCATTACGGTTGTCTTGACACTCTCCCACAATCTCAGGCCAAGACAGAAAAGTCGCCTGAGGCGCCGCTCTTTTCAAGAATGAACGGATTGGTCTCGCTCAGAAGAACCAAGTGATCCGTCCCCAAAAGGGTTGGGGACGGATGGGAGGAACCAGACTTTTCTGTGAGGGTAAAACTTTGGCTGGCACATCGGCAGCTCTACGACTCTGAATAGATCCCCCTTGCCGGAGCGAACGATTAGTGCCACTTTTGTATGCTCCCATGCCCTATGGGAGACATGACCAACTTCGCCACCGGGCCAAGCGATTATTAACTAACAACCTCCGGTTCAATGAGTCAGTCTGGGCGCGCTGGCAATCAATGGACCAGATGACGGTAGCCGACTGGCCCTCCAGTGAAGAATGCTGGAGGTAGGTGGGGCTCATGGTATCTATGATGGATCGCTTCCCTGTTAATCAATCGATAGTGACATGGGAAAACCCGAGGTTGAAAAAAGGCACAATTATCGATTGCATGCCCGCAACGACACCGCAGTGCAAGTGCAAGCAGTAGCTGCAGCAGCAGCACCCATTTCAGCCAGCCAGGCAAAAAGAGTCCTGAATAGT